CAAATCATCCCCATTCAACTGAATTTGCCACAGGTTAACTTCACTTGAAGTGTAGTAATATCTACAAGCAAAACGAATGCTCCTGAGCTAAATTTCAACTGTCCCAGATAATTAATAAATAATTTTAGTTTTTTTATTTTTAATACATTTGCAAAGATGTTAAAAACCTGCTTTTTTTACTTGACAATTATGGTGTATGGAGTGTAGATTGTTGTGGAAAATATATATATTCAGTTTGTAACCATAGCAACAGTTTTGTGTTCACAAAGGATGACTGAAATGTCTTGAAATACTTAGTATTGAGCCCAAGGATACAGAGTTTCCAGTTACATTTTCAACACTTTGTAAATAACAGCATATATGATGGTGAGGGCATGAATTTGGAAATAGAAATAAGATTGCTTATACTGAAAATAGGGACAATGTTGTAACCATAGTGATCAGAATATGAATCAGCGGTGCAATGCGAGAAACATGAATTGCGTCCCAAATGACGTACTATATATGATGCGTATGATGTCTTTCAAACTTGGTTCCGGGCACTCCCAGGGGGTCTCAAGTAGTACTAGGGGGTCCGTGGAAAACTTAAGAAAAAAAACAGTGTTAAAACTGAATCTAAATGAACTTGAACTTAAACTAAACTAAATAAATAAATTTTATTAAAATAAAAAAATGCTTAAAAATAAATACAAAATAAATGGTCACACTTTAGTTTGGGGACCAATTTTCACTATTAACTATTAACAGAAATATTTGCCTCAGTAAACTCCTAATTTGCTGCTTATTAATAGTAAGTTAGTTGTTAAGTCTAGGTATGGGGTAGGATTAAGGGAAAAAATATGGTCATGCAGAATAAGTCATTAATATGTGCTTTATAAGTACTAATAAACAGCCAATATGCTAGTAATAATACTGAGAATTGGTCCCTAAAGTGGTACGAAAAATAGATTTCAAATAAATTAAATAAATACATTTATAGTACTACACTGCATAGAAACTAAATAATGAAATATAATAAAAAAAAATGTGTGTGTATGTATGTATGTATACATATATATATATATATATATATATATATATATTCCAAGTAATATACTTTATACATATAAATACATAGCTTTTAAATTTTAGGATGGGGTCCTCGCATGAGGATGATATTATTTGGGGGTCCGTGGCATCTAAAAGATTGAAAAACCCTGGTCTAGTGTAATAATTTGATAAGCTTATTTTGTCATCCAGCATTGGAGTGTGATAGACCCTCCCATTCCACACTTCGGGTCATCAGTTAAATAATAACTGAATTATTCAGGTATTTGAAGTGTTTTTTTGTTTTTTTTTGAACACTACTTAGACTTTTTATTCTACAAAATGTCATACGTATACAGCATTAGTTACCCAGATGATCAGCTGACAGTGGTGCCATAATGACGGAGAGCATTAAGACATTTCTGACTGCTGAGTGCTGCGACTGACCACTCAGAATCAAGAATTCTGGAGCAATACAATCTTCTGTTGTTGTATCCGGAGTGAGAGAATTGGAGACAGTTTAATGTTTTGTTTTTTTCAAAAATTACATCAACTCTGTATTTATTTTGCTTAGAAAAAGTAACGCCGATCAAGTTCTTTAAATGATTAGATAGTATTAATTTGCATTTCATGCTTGCTGCCTTATCACAAACAAGGCTAGATATCGGAATGAATATATTTTATTAAAACAAAAAAGACGTGTGAGATCCAGAAGACAGAAAGTAAGTTCTTCAAAAGTTAAAATCGCTGCTCCTCTCAGATGTTCACGATACAGAAGAACATTGAGTTTTACAAAACGTTCCTTTTTATTGATTGGGGTAAATCTGAACAACCAGGCAAGAAAACTTGAGTGTTTACAGACGAACCAAAAAAAGAACAATAAATAGTCTGTTAATGAAGATAACCAGTTCTTCTCTAAGTACATAACACACAGTATCTTGGAAGTGGCATACAGGTTTGTATTTCACCGGAAAGTCTGAGCATTGTTTGGAGTTTAATCCTGAATGCTGATTGAATTTGTTAACTTTGTATCAGTTTTATATTCTAAACCCACTCTGTCCATACAAAATTAATACACATTTACAAAGATTTACAGCATGGAATCTAGCATAAAGTTAATGGGAGCATGTCGCCATCTCACCTAGAAGAGCAGATCAAAGGCATTGATTCATGGTGCAGACAGGCACAATACAAACAGGGGCATAATGTACACATGAGGTATCCTCTCGAGCCAGGGAAGCTGATCACTGAAGCACAAGGTAAATGAATCTATTAATAAAGTAGCTTTAAATATTTTTTTTATTGGTTCAATTATAGGGGAACTTCCTGGCATGTAAAAAATATCACCATCATCCTTTATCTTTTAGAAGTTTGGATCAGATTCATAAAACAAATAACAGTTTAAAAAAATAAAAAAAACAGCACCTTTGTTTGAACCTCATTCTCACAGTTCTTCTAGTCCAGGGCGCATGATGATGATGTCATCAGTGATGTCACTAGCAATGTTCTCACATCTCTCTGTACTGTGAGGTGGGACAGAGCAGCAGCGGCTAACATTGCCAACTTAAAACTTCCTTTCAAATGTCAAATCATTCATAAACAATCCTAATGCATACAAAAATTTCACAATATCAGACAGCGGCTGTTCCCTCCCCCCTCACAAGGTGTCCAATGAAGAAAAGGCCTGTGTGCCTCTCTTTCCATGCTTCTTCCCCCTTTCATTGTTTCTTTCTGACTCTCTCTCCAAGATGTTCTTATGCCCCAGTAGAGGGCTTGATTTAAGTGGATGGGCCCTTGACTGTTCCCGCCTCTTGTAGTCTGGGAGAAGTGTAGGCGGAGGCTGCCAAACATGCAGCTGCTTCACAAAATCCAGGAAGTCCAGGAGGACCAGCTTTTCCAGGGCGGCCTGGCTCACCCGCTGCACCATGTGGTCCTCGCTCGCCTGGCCTACCATCACGTGCCACACCGTCAAGACCTGGAGGACCTGTGAGAAAACAGGATGGGCTGCTAAGTAAACCAACTCGCCTTCGGACAATTCGGACTTTACCGGTGGACTTTGAACTTACCTGGCAGTCCAGGTGGTCCCGGTTGGCCAGGATGTGGTCGGCCAGGATCTCCTCTCTCTCCCTTTGCACCCCTCTTTCCTGCAAAATGGAAACATGGGGATAGGATTTACAGTAATGAGGATGACTGACAGTATTTTCACAAGAGCAAGATCTATATTTAGAAGGTTTTTTTAACCTTTAAGACCAGTGTTTCCTATCTGGCCTGAGGCCCCAATCATGCCAGGAATGCCACGGCCGCCTGGCAGTCCATGAGGACCCTGAGGTCCTGGAGATCCAGGTGGTCCTGGAGGACCTGGAGGTCCCATCACACCTGCTCCACCCAGCACCGCTCTCTTGGAGCTCACCGCTACCGCTGCTAACTTCTCTGTCAGAAGAATAGAAGAGCGGGAATTTCAGTGTAAAGTGATTAAGATCAGATAAGTTGAAAAACAGTAGAGTCATTCATGCAGAAAATGTTGTTGTGTCTAAAAACACACTTAGGTAGGTAGGCTGAACTTCTTTTATCATGAATGCTGTTGATAGAACGCCATGTCATGCACAAGATGCTGCAAACATTCATTCTTTTAACTTGAGTGTTTCTGTTTTTAGAATGCCATGTCGTGCGATACTGAAAAAGACATGAGTGCAGCGGTCAAACATGTCCTTTTCTCACAGACTTAATTAGAAAAACTATTGAAAAGCAGCTCAGTGAAATGTAAAAACTTGAGATGCAGGGCAGTGCAATTGAAAAAATGCAAGGTCTGGAGACACATTTCTAAAAAGACGCTTTTCTTAAAATATAAACTTATTTTAACTTGAGTGGCATGTTTTTATAATGCAGTGTCAAGACGAGACGTGAAAGCAACACATTCAAGCACATTCATCTAGCATGTTTACACAGAAAAACAATGGTAGTACAATGGCATGGAAACACACGTTCTGTGTGAAGCTCCTCATGCGCGAGAAGCTGCAAAAGAGCTGAGCACAAGCACAGCGGTTAAACATATCCAACTATTGCATGTTTAAATAGAAAAACAATGGAAAAGTAGCTCAGTGAAATGTAAAAATGTGAGTTCTATGAACTTAAGTGCTGTTTTTAGAATGCCATGATGAGGGCCATTCCCACATAAAACGCATTTGCTTTGAAAAACATAACACGTGGACAGTGAAATGGGGAAAAAATGCAGGGCATTTTTTAAAAGTTGAACTAAAAGTTGAAGATACTGCAAAACACACAAGCCGA